TCGGCAGCGGCAGACTTGGAAGAGTAGTCCTGGGGCTCCGAGGGGAGGTTGGCGAAGTACTTCTCGGCGAGGTCGACGAGTTGCTCGTGGGGAATACCACCAGCGCCAACGAGGACCATGCGGTCGGCAGTGTAGTTGGTCTTGATGTAGTTCTCGAGATCGGCGCGCTGGATGCTCTGGATGTTCTCCTTGGGTCCGAGGATGGTGCGGCCGAGGGGCTGGCCCTGGAAGGCAGTGGCGTGCAGGTGGTCAAAGACGACCTCCTCGAGCTGCTTGTCGACCTCCTCCTGCTCGCGGAGGATGACATCACGCTCGCGCTCGATGGCCTGGGCCTCGAGCTTGGAGTTTTGGAGGATATCGGAGAGGATGTCGACGGCAGCGGGGACGTCGTTGTTGAAGGCCTTGGCGTAGTAGACGGTGTTCTCGCGCTGGTTGGATTAATTGTGCGTTCACTTGAGATTTGTGGCTATGACGTACCGAGGTGTAGGCGTTCAAGTGTCCGCCCATGTTTTCTATCTCGAGTTCCAACTGCTGCTGGGTGCGCTTCTGGGTTCCCTGTGCCAAGCATCAGTCCTGCTTCATTGCCATTTGTCCCGGCCATTGCCATTGATGTCGTACCTTGAAAGCAAGGTGCTCGAGGAAGTGGGCAGTGCCGTTGGTCTTGTCCGTCTCTGCGCGGCTTCCTGCGTCGATCCAAACACCGACGGTCGACGTCTGGGCCCATGGGGAGTGCTCGGTAGCGATCTGGGTGCATGGGTCAATTGCAGTCGTGAAGAGTGCTACAGCGTCGGGCCTACCGTGAAGCCATTTCCGAGGGTAGTGGATTCAGTCTTCGCGCCGTAGGCAACGGGCGTGGCCAGGCCGCGGGTCAGAGGCGAGGCTCGCGAGGACTTGACGGCGTTGATGGCGGAGCGAGAGCGCATGCTCTGCTGCAGGTTGAGGGCGAGCCGGCGGGAAGCCATTGCGTCTGCTCGCTGTGGCGGGGGGATGGGAGTTGGTTAGATGGGGTTGGGGTGGATGTATCGACGTCCAGCTGCAGCTTGGCCTAGGTGAGGTGGATGAGTTTCGTCAAATCTGCGATCACGGGATTTCCCGGCCTGCACCGCCAGCCAATGAGCGCAGCAGGGACGTCAGCAATCGACATCCGAGGCATTGTCGTCAACATCCAAGTCGTTCCGATATTGCATCGCAGCGACCTCCTCGACCTCGACCTCCAACCTCCAGCACACAATGGCCTCCGTCATGCGTCCCGGTCTCCTCAGGCAAGCGTGCCCGCCAGTCCAGCAGTCGCAGCGCATGCTGTCCACTGCGACATCGACCATGAACCGCCCGCTCGTCCAGCAACTTCGCCCGGCATTCCAGCGCTCCGCCATCCAAAAGTCCACGCGCATTGCCGCCTTCCACGCTACCCAGCGCAACCAGATCCTGCCGCCGCTGCCCCAGAAGATCATCGGAACCACCAACGACCCAGTCCCAGTGCCAGACCCCGACTACGCCCACGGCAGCTACCACTGGAGCTTCGAGAGGATCGTCTCCGCTGGTCTGATTCCCTTGACCATTGCCCCCTTCGCGGCTGGATCGCTGAACCCGCTCACCGACTCTATTCTCTGCGCCCTTCTGGTCGTCCACTCGCACATTGGCTTCGAGTATGTTGATTGGAAGCGTTTGTAGTGGTTACCGTGGCTAACGTCATGCAGGTCCTGCATCATCGACTACTTCCCCTCCAAGCGTGTTCCCAAGACTCGAACAGCCGCCATGTGGGCTCTCCGCGCTGGAACTGTCGCTCTGGGTCTTGCCCTCTACTCTTTCGAGACAAACGATGTTGGTATCACCGAGGCCGTCGCGAGGTTGTGGCACGCATAGATATATATTTTGGACCTGTAATACAAATGCAGAGGGACATGTCTTTTTTGATTCAACTACTGGACCACGGAGTAGAGTGATTATGTCATTTCCCGTTTCTCTTGACTGACTGACTGCTCTTGTGATGAGTATCAGAACAGAGCTTGCGAATATTGAGAATCAAGGTTGATTCTAGTCGCTTGGAGCACTTTCCTGCTGATAGTGGAAATTTTGATGCACTTAACGTAGGCTCATGACTTGAAGGCTGGGGCTTTCTGGGGGCGAGTGCGTAAATAAACCTACGATTTCTGGCAATAGAGCAAAAACGATAGACATTGGTTAGTGTACGCCTCTGGAAAAGCGATCTTGTTCGACAGAGATTCAAGCCTTGTGGTATAATAGGCTTTGCTTCTGATATGTCAATCACTCGATGTGAAGTTGCTGACATGTGCAGCCTCGCCCCGCCTCATGGTTGGGTGCGCCTTCCGTGCCGACAGGTCCACCATCCAGGATTATCAGGCAATCGGGGTACTAACAAAGTTCTAGACTTCATTCGGACACCAACACCAATCCCGGAGGCAACAGACAGCTACCAAGTTTCCCTTCAGCTTTTCCTGTCTCATACAGCCGCGAGTTCATTTCGATGGTAGCGCCTGACACAATGACGTCGTGGCACTCTGCTCCGCGGTGCTCGCTGGTTCAGCAAACGAAGGCCGCCGCGCACTCGAAGGAAGGCGCGATGACGGCCCTCATATATTCACTCGCACTTGATCTGCTGGATGGGAATGTTCAAATACTCATCCAGTCCCCGAACATTATCGTTACATTAATAACACCTAGTAATGCAGCCTACGCACGTCGCGCATAACTAACCGACGCCCTGCGCCACCACCCATATGGATATCCAGAAAGAGCTCATTCAGGTCGACGAACTGAACATCGGGCTCGATCGATCACACATCACTTACCAAGGGCAAATTGAACTACCCGGAAACCACTCCGGAAGTAGCAGTGACGACATACCTCACTCACACGATCTCAACAGAAGTACGGAGGATCATGTTTCGTCAAACACGTCGTCTACTAGCAGGATAGTCAACAAGGTTCGGCAGAAGAGACATAATGCCGGTGTCAAGATTAGAAAGACCCTGCATATCGCAAAGCCAGAAGATGAGGCTGAGGAGCCCGATCCAGATTCGATAGTACTTGTTGATACTACCGAAATAAAGGAATCGAACTCACGCCTTGACCACAAGTCTACAGCATCGGAGAAGCACACACTGAAGGACCTTTTACACAACCCGATCGACACGGTGAAATCTGCAGGATGGTGTCAGGGAAATCAAGAAGTTGCAGCAAACATAGCTGTAAGCGAAATTCCTCATGGCCGGGAGGTGGATTTGGTCAACGTAGCGACTGCTGTGAACCAGGCCAAGACAGGAGCTGAGAAGGCGCAAGCTCAAGAGAATCTTGCTGAGATGCTCAACCAGCGGCAAAGTACTTATGTTCGATGGTCGCTCGATCGACATGTTACCAAGATTAGAATACTACCACGCGACACAGCGGTACTGAAGCCTAGGTCGGACTTTGAAAAAGAGGATACCGCAGGCCGTACCGTTACCGACTGGAGAGCTTATGGCTCGCACTTACTAGACTATTACGCTCATCGGTACGGTGGACAGTATATTGGATTCGGCTCTGATCCACCGACACCCTCCAAGGAAACAATCATGCCAAACATTGAGCGCCTCATTGTTGCGACATCACCGTTCCAGGAGTTCATCATGACCACCCGTCGTGTGTACAGATGGGAGTACCCTGTCGAGACAACGAAGTACCTCGTAATTTACATCGTCCTTTGGTATCTGAACCTCCTTTTACCAGGTGCTCTGTCAGTAGTATTATATCTGGTCGCAGAACGTCGCTTGCACGGACAGTCTATCGAGGACCTCCGCGAAGATATCAAACACCGCGAAGACGTGGAGAGAACAGCGCTCTCGCTCACCGAGTTCATCGAAAAACAAGGCGATGAGAACTGGGCGCACGATCTCCTCCAAGATCTCGGTCCCTGGCTCATGGTTCAGCTAGCCGATCTAGCAAACTTCTTCGAGAGCGTCCGCAACTTCTACGAATGGAGAAAGCCAACGCGCACACTAGCCGTCCTTGTAGTCCTCGCTACGGGTATTCTTATCACAGTCTTCACGCCTCTCTGGCTGCTCATCAAAGTCTCCACATTCTCCGCTGGTTTCACCTTCTTCTGCCTCTTCCCCATCTCCGTCAACTTCCCAAACTACCGCCTCCTCGTCTCACCTTCAAAACGTCTGTTCTGGAATATTCCAACGCACGCTGAGTGGGCAATTCAGTACATGCAAGCCGAAGGTCTCCGCGTCGTCACTGAGAAGCAGAATGCTAGCGCGAACATGACCACCCTGACGGATACGAATAGTCCTGACGCTGCTGCCTTATCGGAAGGGCAGGACTTTGCCTCGTATTCCTGCCATTACGATGGATCGCCAGGACGTCTCATCATGAACCGTACAGGAGTACGTTTTGTCGCAAAGGGTCCATTGCACCAAGGCCTCTTCTCTCTTCCGTATGATCGGATTGGCTATCTAGAGAAGCAAGACCGACATGTGGAAAAGATGGTCAAAGTGCTCAAGGAGTGCGATAAGGACTTGCGTCTCGTCGATAGAGATGAGCATGAGTGGATACTGCACGAAGTGGAAAAGAGGGATGAGGCGTTTAGTCAGATTGTTGGATTTAGTCGAACAAGTTGGCAGGTGATTTGGTAATCGTAGTTCGTATTTCCCAGATGTCCATCTATCAGACACAAGAGCACACGAATCTCAACATCGAACTGTTCTTACAGGCAAACTCTCTGTTAATTAAGCATTTAAAAAACCATCAAAACTATCCTCAGACCTTTTCCCCAGAAATGCTCCCCTCAGTCCCCGCAATAGTCGTCTCCCCATTCCCCAAAGTCTCCACCAGCCGCCTTGGACCAACATATCCCCTATTCCTAATCCAAACATACCAACCTCCCAATAAGATCGTCACGCCCCCCACAAGCGCACTCGTATAATTCATCGTCGTAGTATCAAACGGCACCGCAAATGGGAAACAGTAGATCGGTATCCATACAACCATGTACCCACACGCTACGCTGGCCACCGTGTAAAACAACGGGTTAGGCATGGTAAAAGGACCTTTGATAACGTGGCGGCGGCGAGTCAAGATGTTGGGCAGAATGAACGCGAGGTACGACATTGACGACAGCACGATGAAGGAGCCGACAAAGGCGGAGAAGGCAGTCGACGAACCAATGTAGATGCAACCCAGGATCGTGTTGATGACACCACACGCCAAGGTCGCGTTGAACGGGTTTTCCCACTTCTTGTCGATTTTGCCGACCCAGCGGGGGAATGGAGTTGCGTCGTCTCGGCCTAGGGTCCATAGCATGCGGCCGGAGGTTATGTAGCAACCGATGTTTGTACAGAATGTTGGGATGAAGATTACGAGTAAGAGGCCAAGGGAGCCGCCGTGGGAGTTTGTAGCTTGGCGGTAGAGTTCGGCGAGGGGGAAGGGCCAAGGGTTTGTGAAGAGGGAGTCGAGGTCGTTTACAGAGTAGAAGATTGTTATGAGGTAGAGGAAGGCGGTTATGAAGCCGACGGTGTATTGGGCGAGGATGGCTTTGGGGATGTTGGTTCGGGGGCGGGGGAGTTCCTCCGCGAGATGGGAGACGCAGTCGCTGTTCGTTTGTAAGCAACTACAACACTGTGCTTCCTTGACGAGAATCTCGACTTACGGCGTCCCCACAGCGAAAGCCCCGTTCAGCATGCCAGCGCAAAACACAAAGCCGTCGCTACTCCAACCTGCCTGATTCTGCCAGTCGCGCCACACAAACTCGTTGCTTGCATATCCCTTGCCGCTTCTGCTAGGCATGATGGCGCATACCATGATGGTGATGAAGACGCCCATTAGGATAAAGAACAGACCAATGTTTGTGAGTTTGGGTAAGGCGCGATTGGCAAACATGACAATGAAGCAGGCGATCCAAGTGATAATGAGGTAGACGATGAAAACGTGCCAGCGTTCGAAGGCATAGCCAGGGTGGAAGAGGCCGTACATGGAGATGACCTGGTTGGCGAGGATGGAGGATATTGACGCAGTTCCGAAGATCCAACCCAGAGCGTTCCACCTGTGCGGTGTTAGTTTTGCCTTTTCTCATACAACTTCCCAAGTCGGTGGCAAGATGCCCGGCAGATGTGGGAGTGATGCTTCGAACCTACCATCCTGCGTAAAAGCCGATGACTTTACCAAACCGCGCTCCTGCTGTCACACTAGCCCAGTGGTAAACACCCGACGACGAAGGGATAGCAGAAGCCATCTCGGCAATACAAGCCGCTATCATGAAGTAACAGCATGCGACAGCAATGAATTCGTAAATGACACCTGCCGGGCCGCCATTGTAGAGCGCGATGACCTAAGCATGATTAGCATGTCGTAGCCTATACATTATGCCAGGAAAGAAAAGGGTACTAACAATAGATCCTCCCAACGCCGCCCAAACATTTCCTGTAGTGATACCAATTGCGCAAATGCTCAACAGGCTGAAATTGCGCTCCAGTTCCTGCTTGTGACCCGAAGCATTCAAGACTTCGCCCACGTCGCCCGTGGCCTGGTCGACTTCCGGTCTTGACTTCTCAGAAGACTTCTTTTCCATATCCATGGTCGGCGATCGATGATGGCAGTGCGCCGGCTACCGCGCTATAGTCGTTTTTGCTCTGCAATTCGTTTTCCAGGAGGGAGGTGGTGGGCAACGAGGATATACAAAAAGCGATAAGAATGTCTTGATGTCAATAGTCGTTGATTTGCCCAGACACGGGAGGACGGAGGCGTAGATTACCAGCCTTATGGGGAAGGAATCAGTGGAGTAGCGTATCGATCGCAGATCAAACGGCCCTGCTTGTCAATCGTACAGCAAATGTCCGCCCAGAGATAAGAGAAGTCAGGAACGGCACGAAGAGAGGACGACGCGGGCAACGCGAGACAGTGTCCAGAATCAACGACAGTGAAGTAGTACAACAATCGAGAAAAAACACTTCTTCACTTGCATCGTACTCTTATGACGCCCCATCTGCCATGCAAGACAGCGGCTTCGGACGCCTCTATCTCTGCTGTGTCAACCACAACACTGTCACTTACACGTAAGTATGTATGCTAAGCGACTGACAGCGCTCGGAGATAAAGCAACGCATCTAGCATTGCCGTCCGCTCTACGCCCCGGTCACGCCAGAAAAGCCCCAGCAAGACAGACGGGGCAGCAGGCGCGTCTAAAGAGAGTCGGGCCAACATCCATGGTGTAACGTGCAAGCAGTAGCCAACTCCGCAGGAGAACCGTGGAGACGGGTCAGGGAACACTAATCGTGTTATGTCGTGTGCAGTACTGATAAGGCGCTGAGGCGGAGCTGAGCTGCCCAGGGTGCAAGATAAGTGATCCCGGGTATATGGTGCAGGAACAGGATGCGCATCTGGCCAATAAGAGACAAGACTGGTGGATGTAAGCGGGAGATACGCGAATGCTGATTTGGGGTTGCGGAGACTTTTGGAGTAACACAGTGGCGTAAGGCACGATAAGTGAATTTTTTTTGCATGCGATTCGGAGTATGATCAGAAGACAAATTTGAAATGCTGTCAGGGTGATTTTGAGGGCTTGCGTGATTGTGGTTGAGGTGATGGCTGTTCTCCACACATTTGGGGGTCCTAGGAAGTGGTGTCTACACAGCGGGAGGCGGCCTCCGGAGGCTTTGCCGCTTACGCGCTAGGATGGCATGTCTGCACTATCCCCCACGCGTCTTAATGGCCCTGATCGTTCCTGCCAATTGACAACTTGCGATGCATTGACTCTGGACGTATAAGAGAGGTGCAGAATGAAAGCATGATATGACCAGAAGAGACCGGCGAGATGTACTGGACGAAAAAGAAGGTAAATTGCTGCATCGCTGCAAGATGCACTTTCGAATACTGTACACAAAATAAACGCACCTGCAACTCCAAGTCCGTGTCGCCCTGCCAGAGGATCGATGATTACATACGTTTCGTCCCCATCCACGCGTGAGCGAAGCCAATTCTAGTGACATTTCCACATCCATGTCCATGTCATTCCGCATATGAAAGGAAGAGACGACAGGCTTATGCGCTGCGCATCTCGGTATCGTCAGTACCGTCCACATCGCCGATCTTCCGCTTGCTGGGTGTGGCGCTGCCCTCGTCGTCGCCGTCGTCGCCTTCAGTCCACTCGGTGACTTCCCACTCGACGTGCACGCCGCTCTCAGTGTGTCCACCGCGCTGCTGCTTGAAGCGGCCCAAACGAGTGTTGCGCACAATCTCCTCGAACCAAGGCGCACCGCGAGACTGTGGTTCTGAACGGGCGACGGAGCGCGAGCGGTCAGTCGTCCTTGAGGGACCAGCAACGGACACTTCGTCGTCGCTGCTTTCGCTGCTACTGGGCAGGAAGCCGAGTTCACCCAGCATCTCCTGGTCCTCGTCCAGCAAGCTGCCGACTGTCAGGGAGATGTGATCGGCCTCGTCGCGCGTTCGCTCGTTCCATGATGTGAGCTGAGTACCGCAGTATCCGCAGAATTGACGGCGGCTATTCGGGGTATACGGGGAGGTGAAGCTGCGCTTGATGCTCATAGGGGTTTCGTCGAGGAATTGCGCAAATGTCGCAGAGGTGTACCAGGGCAGAGGTACGCGAAGCCATAGTGTGAGAGGGTTGGCCGAGTGGTGTCCTGTTGTATTGTTGTTAGCGAGAGCCCATGACGTGACCCATCAAAAGGGATAGATGAGCCGCACAGCAAACACGCCGTGTACTTACGCGACGCAGAAGTGTTGTCGTATCGCAGCTCTGCCTGCCCAATCTGCTGCTTCGGCATCTCGATAACATAGCGGTTCCTGCCGCAGGCGCAACTGCCATGTAGCGTCTGGGTCGCCATGCCGGTTGCTGTTTGGTGTGTCGTGTTTCGGTGTAGGCAACGGGCAATCTGCCTCTGGCCGTAGAACGAGGAATCGATGCGTTCAGTGTTTGCGGGGTGGCGATCGTGGAAAGAAATCGAAATTAGATGTCGCCCGTTGCGACTTCCCCAGCTGTCGTGCAACGGCCCGTGCGATTGGTTAAACTCCAGCCTTATGAGATGGTAACCTAGGTTGACCCTTACACGTCACCTTGACAACGCAGACAACCCAGTTTAGAGTGTGCAATACTAGCTTGATAGATTATGAAAACGCGATAAACATCCACGTACTTGCCGCAGAGCATATATGCGCTGTGCTGCGTGGTGCCAAAGGTTACCGCCTGTAAGTTCGGTGATACAGCCTGGCGTCATGGGTGGGGAAGCTCACCACCAAGGAACATTCGAGCACGCTCCAGTGTATTCGCGAAACCAAGACTCCATCCAACCTCAAACTGCTTTCTTCTTCGCTTCTTCTCTCATCATAGCAACCCTTTCGTTGACTCTTTCGATGGCCTCCCTCGCTCCGTCCCAGCACTTCCTCTTCCCCGTGTTGAATACACGATGTATGGACGGACTCCATATACCGCCCATCAGCAGATTGCAAAATCTTCTCTCGCGTAACCAGAAAAGCCAGCCTTTCCACCCATATCCCAGGTACTCGTTAACACCCGTACCGGCAAGATGGTCCATAGCCCTTACCCACTCACTTGCCTCACATTGCCCTGGTGACACGTTGGGAATGCGCTTCGCCGAGTCGGCCAACCACATATGATGCTTGCCAACGGCGAAATTCATGGCAGAAAGCGATGGTAGACTGGATTTGCCCGCCCAGACTTGGGCTACAGCCATAGATGCCATATCTGCTCACCGTCAGCATCTGCTTCGCCTGCACGTTACATCTCAATCCACGTACCAAAAATGGGGAATCCACCAAGTGTTATAGAAACATTGCCCAAGAACGCCAAACTATCCGGCTTTTCCAGTGAAAAGACGTTATGATATAGACGGAAAAGCGACTTTCCATTCGATCCGGGAGCATCAAGCCATTGCTGGGGACGACATGTGGGATCGAAGCGAGGCTCAATCATACTGAAATCTGATGCGTATCCTGTACACCAGATTATAGCGTCGACTTCAAGCCTAGTTCCGTCTTGCAGTTCCACTTCAGTGGCGCCTAGAACGCGTCTTATTCCTGCGACCGAGGAGATGCTACCGTCTTCGAGACAAGGGATTAGGGTATCAGACACTACGGGTACTTTGCCTGCATGTTCGAAGCGCCACTCAGGACGGATCTTGAAACTCTTGTCTTGCATTTTCTTAATAAATTTGTCGAATAGACGTTCGCCGAGATGCGGAAAGTATTTCAGGATCAGGCTTTGGACTGTGAAGAGACGTAGGCTATGCGTATGGTCAATCGGGACGCCTTTGATGCGCCGTGGGAGCTATAGGTTAAGAGTCAGTATCAAAATACTCGCGATTTTAGGCCGTACTATTGAACATACAATGCGAGCTCCATGCCGATGCGCCATATATACCTTGTTTGCCATACCTACGAGTTGCGTAGCTGTGTCCGCCGCACTATTGCTGAAGCCGACGACCATGACTCTTTTGTTCTCATAATCTTTCGGCCGCTTGAACCCTTGGGAGTGTACACTAGACCCAGCAAACCTCTCAATGCCTTCCACAACTGGAAGATTGGCCTTTCCGATCATGCCGCCAATCGCTACGACGACCTTGTCGTAGTACTCTTCATCCCCACCTTGAATATTCAAGACCCATTGCTGCCGCCCCTCGTTGAATGTGATCTGCTCGATGGAAGTGCTGAGTCGCATATACGGTCCTAGCTTGAAGTGTCTTGTATAGTCTATTAGGTATTGTTGTACTTGTGCAGCTGCAGGGTGTGATGGGACATCTTCCGGGAAGGGAAAATCGGTGAAGCAGCCTCTCTCCTTGGATATATTAACCCTAGTTGTCTCCATGACCGAGGTCTGCTCTTTCGCTGAGTACTGCCAAAGACCGCCAACGTATTCATTGCGGTCGAAGCCTGTGGCGTGAAAACCTTCCTCTCTGAGGTTCTTCAGTGCTACGAGGCCGGCCGGTCCTAAAAGTTCAGTCGCTGGTTTTGCCATCTCAAACACAAGGCATCTTACCTAGACCTATCACGGCTACAGTTGTGGCCCTGTCCATGCTGACAGTCGCGCAGATGTGCTGTTGGCGCTCTGTACGTCTGTCGTCACCCGTCCTTTCAGAGGGACACAGTGGTAGTGCTAAACTCAAAGACGTTCGTATTGTTTTGGCTGATGTTAAAATACACCGTGACAAGCTTCACGATCAAAGTGAAATGGCCCGACATGGCGGCTGGTGGGTCTTATGGGCGAATTGTTAGGCGGGCCGCACGGGGCGAAAGAGTAAGCAAACTCTCACGCTGCGCACTTGTGACACCAATACCATTCCAACTCTCAAGTATTCTCTATAGCGCATGATACGCATGTTTCTCCATCAATCTGAATCGGTATGCTTCGCGAAAGCTTGATCTGTTGGAATCGGTTACACCGCCACGGTCAACTAAGAGTTGATGTGGCGTCGGCCCCACTTCACAGCCCACCGATGTAGTGCATCTCACGCATGTGCTGCGGCCTTCCCCCTACTAACGCGTCATCTTTGACAAGCTCTTCTGCTTGACTGGACGCCTGTTAGCCCTGGAAATAACGCGTGGTTCTGAGCTTAAAGTTGCGATTGGACATCTCGCATAAGGCAACAGCTTTCCGTTCAGCTCTACGCGGCTAGCAGAGTATCGACAAGACATATGAGCAAGCCTCTAGTTCTTCTCTACACATCAAGAAGACTGCTATAGAGTTTCAAACTTTCAACCATTCATCCCTATACTGGACTAAATCTGACTCCCTATACCTTCCCGACCATGGCTGGCCCACCATCATACCCCGCCAATGGCGATTTCAACTCCAGACCACCACCCCCATCGGCACAATCACGGCCTAACGTCGCTTCCACCCCAAGTGCAATGTCAGTCGCTGACTCTTCTGATAACGACTTTGAGCCAACCCCCATCCATAGCCCCGGAGGTCCACATTACGAAGATTTGCCACCATCATACGACGAAGCGCAAGACCAGGCCGTTCACGATACACGCAACGGCATAGCGCCCGTAGACCCAAGCCAGATCGAAGCCCACCGCATCACTTCCAACGAAGGTCCTAATGAGCCCGAAGTATGGGAGTATCGAGTAAGAGGTGAACCAGATCCTGCGAACGAGCGGGAACAAGCGCCAGACTATGCAAATCATACGAGCGACAAAGCTACCAGTGTACCTGTGCAGCATGTCAGCACCAGTGAGAGCATTACAGTTGGACGAGTGCACAGCGAGTTTGATTCCAAGTCTAGTGCGTCCAGTTTACTTGACCAAGCCCTGAAATTCGTGCATCGAGAGCCAGATACCGCAGCGCAGTATGCACCGCATTTGAACCGTCTCATCGCGATACCTGAACTTGCCGGACCAGCACGGCGTGCAGACGAAATCTCAACGTTCCTAGTCGCCTACGCCGAAGTGTTGAATCATCATTCGATCAAACCTGATGAATTCGCCGATTTTCTTTACGGTCTACAAGTCCTATGTACTATCACGAAGACAACAGCCAGAGACTTGTTGGACATGCCAGCGCATGGATACACTTCTTCAACTACGGTGGACGATTACATTCGAGGCGCGAACGAAGCGTTCTTTGCGCCAAGAGGTCTCATTGTGTCGTTCCGCAGCGAGACTGCGCTTCTCGAACAATTGCCCATTCCCATGGGGCACAAAAGTACTGTCCTAATCAAATTGGCGGACAGAACTGTAACAGCTGAATGGAGGGCACAGCAATTATATCCCTGGATTGAAGCGCTCGACGTCGAGAATGTCCCGGCGCCGAGTGAGAGGGTACGAAAGTTGTATGAGTTGAGTGAGCGGTTCGAAGGTTGGAAAGTTCCTGCACAGAGTTCTTCTGGTACTGGTCGTCACATGTCGGGACAGAACAGGGATTTGGGACATGAAGACCCGCCTCATTCCGTTCCTGAATCTGGAACTCGCCATCCTCGAGGGCAACGTGGGGGCGATTGTTCGCCCTTTGGTATGCCAGGCCGAGGACCATTCGGAGCTCCAGGCAACGGGCCTTTTGGCAGACGAGGTATGCCCTCTCGCGGTCGTGGTCGCGGAAGCGAATGGCGTGGAAACGAGTGGGCAGAAGTGGGAAAAGAGTTGGGCAAGATTGGTGAACAATTCGGCAAACGCATGGGTGATTGGGGTGTAGAGTTTGGAAAACGCGCCAATGCTTTTGGGCTTGATGTGGGCAAAATGGCGAGTGGAAGTGGGAGCGGTAATGGCTCCCAAGTTAAAGGCACAACATCGGGTCAACAGTATCAACAAGCACAAAACGATGACCTCCCGCCTGCCTACCACGCTCCAGCAGGTCAAGAGTCGGGCGTGCTGTATGGAGACGAGAAGAGCAAGGTCAATACTCCAGGATACTCTGTCTCGACGACCATAGACGACAAGGGTAAGGGAAAAGCCAAGGAAAAGGACCTGTACAGCGACGATGATGACGATACATCATCCATGTCATCAGACAGTTCGATCTCTTCCGACTCAGACTCAGATTCTGATTCCGACGACGACGAAGACTTCTCTGGCGTGGACAAGGATCTAGCACGTGCGCGCAAACTCTCCATCCGCGATGCTCGCCACCACCTCAAGGAACGCTCTCGTACCTTGAAGAAACAACACCGTCAGAAGAAACGTGTGTTGAAAGCTAAGCACACTCTGAACAAAGAGGACAACACGGGAAAGGGCAAAGCCAAAGCCAAATCCAAATCCAAGCTAAAGAAAGATCCAGAATGGATAGAAGCCAAGAAGGAGTATAAAGCACAGAGGAAAGTGTTGAGAAAAGAGCGTTTGACTGCGAAGAAGGAGTGGCGTGAGGCAAGAGAGGAGGTCAGGAGGGAGAGGAGAAGTGCTAGGAAGGAGGCCAGAGGTAATGGCAAGGGTAGAGGATTTATTCCGGAGGAAGTAAACCCTGAGATGGTATGGCTTGTGATCGAGAATTTGGCGCCGTGAGTGTTTGCAGGGGATCTTGGATGCCTTCTTATGATAGTGGCACTGAGAGATGCATTGACCAGAATGGTCATGTCGAGAAAAGGCATCCTAGCACTAATGACATTGTCGAGTCATGACCTGAGCATAGCATGAGTCATTAACCGAATTGCAAACATGGCAAGTCACTGTCCTACTCATGCCTTCAAACCACAAGAGTTAACCACGCTCATATTGGCTTCACGAATTTGACAGTGCATTCGGAAAGATGTCGCCTAGAACATATATCGTTGGCGATGGCGCCGCGAAATTGCGTTCTGAGCGTTGAACAGCTTTGTGCGCTCACATCCGCCTCCTTCCCCGCAACCCCGCCATAAGCGTACAGGAAATCGTCTTCCTTCGTTGAAGATTATCCGCAAGTAGCCCTCGATACATGACATGGAGGTCGCACTACTTGGTTTCAGAGCCGTCATTGGGTAAGTCCAGGGTAACGGCCCTGCTACCTAGGTACCTTTTTGACGGCTTGCCTTATCTCGGAAGAGCGTATCTGAACGACCTGGTATATAGCTTCGAGACCTTCCGTCATAAGAAAAATTAATAATTCCTTGAGTTGTACGAGTTTTACATGGCGCCGAATCCTAGAAGAGTGAAAATGTCTCCCTCTACTGATCGCAAACGCGCTGTGCGCATCGCAGGATGCTCTGGTGGCTTCACGGACCGTTCTCTTGCTATCACACGTATGGCTGGCGACCCAGAAGTTGATGTCGTAATGGGTAGGATTTCCTGACAAGCGGATATGTATGATCTTAAACTGACTGAACCAGGCGACTGGCTATCCGAAATGACCATGACTGTACACGGTAGTGGAAAAGTAAAGCAAAAGTCTACGAAGAGCAACAATGGCACTATGAGTCTGGAGGAGCGTAAGAAGAGCGCCATGTACGCTGACACATTTATTCAATGCTTTGAACCGGCAGTACCAAACCTAGTCAAGAACAAGACGAAGCTTGCCGTGAATGCCGGTGCTTCAGACACTGAACTTCTCGCTGAGGTTGTAGTGGATATACTGGAGAAGCAGGGCGCTAGTCATCTCAAAGTAGCATGGATCGAAGGCGATGATGTGACGGGACAGGTCAATAGTCTGATCAAGAAGGGGGAGAAGTTTGAAAGTCTGATGCATGGCAAGAAGCTCGAGGAGTGGGGGATGGAACCGGTGTGCGCTCAGGCGTATCTGGGTGGTCTTTGCATAGCAGAAGCTTTCAGACAAGGCGCCGATATAGTGCTCGCCGGAAGAGTTGCGGATGCTGCGCCAGTCATCGGTGCTGCGGCGTGAGTTGCCTTACTACCGTCACCAGTGACTCAGCTGACATGATCAGGTGGTGGCATGACTGGAAGAACGACCAGTTTGATGAACTTGCTGGAGCGCTCATCGCTGGCCATCTAGTTGAGTGCTCAGCCTACGTCACAGGAGGATACTACTCGATGTTCAAAGATCTCATGAAGACAGGCAAGCACATCAACATGGGCTTCCCTATCGCAGAAGTAGAGTATGACGGCAGCTTCAACATTGCGAAAGAGAAGGATACTGGAGGTAGGCGTTGATTTTCCAGCTCGTGACTTTATGCGGCTGACACGTCCAGGTTGCGTCACTGTCGGCACATGCACTTCGCAGCTGCTGTATGAGATACAAGGACCATTGTACTACAACTGTGATGTCACAGCTGATATCACGGACGTCAAGATGGAGCAAGTAGGCGAGGACCTAGTACGTGTTACGGGGGTGAAAGGTTTTCCCCCACCACCTACGACTAAGGTTGGTATCACTGCCCCAGCCGGCTGGCAATGCGAGTGGCATATGTTTGTGTGTGGTCTCGATATAGAGGAGAAGTGCAAGATCACCGAAGATCAGATTCGATACGGTAGGCGCATTCACATCGTCATCACATCATCAAACTAACGATGATCAGCCATGGGAGACAACGTCAACCGCTTCAAAACGCTCAGATTCCATCAGAACGGTTCATCACCAATCGATGCACACAACCAGGACGTAGCAACGGTCGACTTCCGGATCTTTGCTCAAACCTCTGATCCCGAGTTGGTACGGCCAGACGTCCCCAACGGATTCAATCGCTGGTGTCTTGAAGTCTTCCTCCAATCAGCTCCTGGTCTGTCGCTTTCCAACGACCTGCGGCAGATTGCGCCGAAACCATACTACGATTACTGGGTCTCACTTCTCCCTCAAGACCAATTGCCCTTGCGCGTACATGCCATGTACGGCGACAGAACAGTCACCAATCTCAGTCCACCTAAGGTCACGAAAGAGTATCCGCGCCAGCAGGCCTCGTATGAGACCTCGTCGCCAGTCGATCTCTCGTCATTCGGCGAAACGGTTCGCGCACCGCTGGGTTACATCGTCGCTGGCCGGTCTGGTGATAAGGCATCAGACTGCAACTGCGGGTTTTTCGTCCGCTACGATGATGAGTGGAATTGGCTGCGCTCTTTCATGACGATCGAGCGTGTCAAAGAGCTTCTTGGGAAGCATGAGTATGGCGGCAAGCCGATTGATCGCTTTGAGATTGCAGGGATTCGTTCAGTGCACTTTTTGCTGCATGACCACTTGAGAGATGGGGGTTACAATACGTGTTCTTCGTATGATACTTTGGGAAAGAGTAAGTGGCGTATGAGGTTATTGAAGTGATTGTTGCTGACAGATGTATAGATGCTATGGAGTATATGCGTGCGAAGACTGTGGATCTGCCGAAGAAGTTCTTGGATCGTGGTCGTATCTAATCACATAGCCATAGAAAGTGAAGACTTTCAGTTGCTTGCGAGTAACGCGACCACCTTACCGAGATCTGAGCCTTTTGACTCGAATTACTCAGCTGTGGTGATGGGTTGTACACGAGTGTCCCTAATTGCTTCTCATGTAACATTTGTTGTTATATCTCTCCTAAAACGAAGCCTCACTGTCAGCTCATTGTTTATCGTACGTCTGAGAAGCGCCACTTCATGTTGATGTAGTGAAGGTGAGTGCGGTCCGTATTTTAGTGCAACAGTCATTGCTCTTTCCTTTCTCGATTATAAGGGTCCAAGCTTGAGCTTTTCCATATCACTACGACTTCCTGGACATTGCCGCTCACCTCTCTGTCACCCACTATCCTAGTCACATACGAGACTCACTTACTACACCGCGCTCAAACGTGTCATAACTGCAAGTCATTGCGCCTGCGGCCATCAGGCAAGTATTGTCCCTGTTGTATAAATCATCGTGTTTCTACATTTGCTAAGTAACTCTAGTCGCACAGCTGTCATCGCGCTACTCACCTAGCGACAGAGCTGCTGTTTCTCACCGCAGTCATGCACTTCCCAATCCCAGAACCTGTGCGCGGCCGGGTCGCACAAGTGTACTCTCAATCCAATGACCCAGGTGCAGCTTCACTACTCGGTATCCCGCCGGAACTTCGCAACCAGATTTACGAGTACCTGCTGGTAAATTATGAACCAATTACCATGGTTAATGAAGTTGGTGATGACGACGACACTACCAGCAGGGTTAGTAACTTCGTGGGAAGCTCCGCCATCATTCTTACCTGCCGTCAAATCTACCATGAGGCACTAGGTATTCTCTATGGCCAGAATGTCTTTCGATTCCAGTACAGCGTACAATACCAAAAGTACTTCGTCTTTCTCATCACTAGTCCGGTCGAGACATGCACAAAATGGGTTGAAGACATCGGGTCCTGTCTTTCAGGGTTGCGCACTGTTACAATCGACATAAGTGTACCCAAATTACACGGAGACTATCATGAATTCGAGAGGGACTCATACCAAAATACTCAGGACCATATGCCGATTCTGCGATTACTCGACATTATCTGGAACGACATCGCCAGCAACATATCAATCAAGTTCGAGCATACGCACGAAACCGGGCGGTATGTTCGATTTCCAGTTGATATAGCGTCGGAAGTACTAGATGTAAAGTGCGAGGGAATCACAAACATTCTGTATGAGCTGGGAAAGATGGATTGTTTAGGTTTGAAAGGAACACGTCGCTTGCTACGAGAAGTCTACGTAGACGCGAGCGGCATCCGAGGGACCATAATATATTGGGGGACTGGCCATAGAACTGGACCCTGCCGCGAGTTTCAGTTGTTGGGGGACACCAGGATGTACGAACTCGTCCCTCTGCCGAGTCCATGGAGTCTGCTCGACCTACCTGACGAGATCATCATGGATATCGCTTGTCTTGCACTGCCTAACCACGACATCACATACAACTTTGACACAGGCATCACGCATGGTCATGGGTTCGGTTTGCTCAACGTCAATAAACAGCTTCGCCGCATGGTCCGCTCATGCTTCCTTTCCAGAGCTCGTTTCACCCTTATCCTAGGTTCTGATACTTGGCAGCCTGCGAAGACACTGTATGAAGTACTTGAACCTCGCATCGCAGAATCTTTCGAGGATGCTTATAACCACAACCGTCACATGAGATACTGTACTCCGATCGAGGCGGCTCAAGATCACGAAAATGAGCCGACCATCATTCTGCAGTTCCAGACTGCCAACCACATCCAGATCAACGCATGGGATCTCCTGTGGACCACTACAATCTTCCCGCCCGGTACTACAATCATGATTCGCGTACGTGATTGTAGTGACAATGTCCATGTCACAACACTAGGTGAGATTCGGAGATACGCTCTAGTATTCTTGGAGGATCTCATGGACAAAGCAATCCCACAGTCCTGGTGTGCCACAGTCGAATTTTGGCTCAATGAGCAGTGCCTTCCTGTGAGAGCCACCATTCAGGAGAACGATCAAGGGTCGGAGTATCCTGATTTGGACGTGGTAGATATCTCGAATATGATGGATATTACCGCTTTGCGCAAAGCGGTCGATGCAAGAGAGTGGAGACCATATGGGGAGTTGCGTGGGTTCAAAGGCATCACTCGACCGAGAAGCTGGGATTATATGGTGTTTTGTGACCTTGTTAAGTGTCTTCGATCGCTTTGCCTTTGACCGCACGATCATCGGTAAGGAGGCTATGATGAATTTCTCCCTGTACTCGGGATGAAGTATCTGTACGCACGGGATCACGAGGACTTGCTGTACCTTAAGTGCTGCTGTCATCCAATCAACGTGATAGTTAAAACATGATGATTATATCTTACACCGATTAGACCAAAAAGCCCGCGGAGCATCATTTCCATGCACGGCCTCATCTTATTTCCTTTTGCCCTACAATATCCGTGACTAGGCAATAAAGAGTACGCGTCTGCCTGGGCATACCCACACAGTGTATACCTCACATTAATCTAAACGAGGCAGACAAGAAAGCGCCACCAGAAAAAACAAAGGAAAGCCTTCGGTAATCAACCTCATTTCCTATTAGCCCCCAAACTTACCCACGTCGGAGTACTAAGCAGCGAACTAACTTCTCACCTAGTTTAGACCTAAGCACTAACGGGAGCGAAGATCGACAGCTAGAAGGTCTCATGCGGAAAACGAAAAAGCCCTCGCCAAACGCTTCTGCTCCTTCGTCCATGTCAGATGCACATGCAGCATGGCAGGAAAGCGCGGCTAATTTGTACCGATTTGCTACTCGCGTAGCCATCACGTTCGGGAGCAGGCGGGGTATGTAGGTATGGGAAGTTACATATATACGGTAGGCAGGTGTTGCGCTTTACGAGCTTCCTAGTTCAAACAGGCTTTGAGATGACGGGCTTTATAGGCGTGGAGACGGGCGTCCCAGGAATGCCGGCGCTACTCCACATAGTGGAAGAAGCGGACTCACAAAGGTCGTTTGGCGTGCGAAAGGAGAAAAGAAAAAAACGTGACTGCCATGTTACACAACGATTTGAAACCTACCGGTGAGCGCCACGCATCGGCATTTAACTTACTCCAATTTACCACGGAAGTTACTCCAAATTCCTCCGCGGAGCAAGCTAGTTACCTTGGAGAGATGGCTACGCGTGTCATGGGAGATTGCGACATTGTGGCATCGCACGATGCGATGCGAACACGGCCTGGGAATTTCGGCCGGAGATACGAGGGAATGGAGATCATCTGTATACGTACCGTACTTACCGATGTATACCCATTGCTCCGAAAAGACCGACCTCGGGTAGCGCGTAACGCGTATCTTACCTAGCTGTTCGGTCGTTTGTTCGTTCGTACGAGTCGCGTCGTTTTCCGTGCATAACTACCGTGATCGCGTCATCTCGTCTTGCCCTGCGCGAATGGACTCCACTTTGACGATCCAGAGGACCCTCTTCACGATAGCGATCTCCAACCTCCAGTCTTGCCCGTATTGTACTAAGCCACTAGATCTTAGCAAGACCCCTCTCACACTCCACCGCACTAACCTCCTTACCAAGCTTTCCGGGCTTCTGACTAGCAGCGACTTAATGCTACTAGATCCGGAGTTCTGTCCCCTGATCCAATCATTAGCATTGGACCCTTTCCGATCATAAGTGGAGGTAAAGTGTATATGTGAGAGTGTCGTTGTAATAACAGCGATGGTTCAGGAAAGTTGAGAAGATTCTTGGTGTAGAATATTTTGCTGGTGTTTGAAAGCACTGTTCCTGCGATCCGCTTCCCATCGAGATGACGGAAGAAGTAGAGAGGAACTCTTATGGCCCCAGCGTTGCTCATCATTTTGGAGGGAGTTGTGTGTTGAAGGCCTCGGGGTGAGGTGGAAATGGTAGACTTACGAGAGGACGTCATGACAGCGGTGCCAAGTCGGAACGGCGTGGCCTGGCCGCGGTTTCTCTCCCGTTGAGGAAATTGTTCCAGAACGACGAGTACGGTGTGCTTTTAGACTTCAGGGAAAAGCGTAGTGTGGTAGTAGGAACTAGTGCGGGAAACCTTACGGTTCCTGCGAGGCGTCCGGTACGCGAACCGAAGGTCAAATTGCATCGAATCAAAGCCCACCGAATCAGATGTACCTTCTTCAGCCATCCAGGCAACAGCCGGCAACTGATTCGATGCCAAAGGTGCGCCCTTGCTTGTCGCCTCGCTTCCCCGAGTAAGAGCTGATGTCCAATTTGAGTAATCCATCGTTTGTTTGCTGGGAAAGGAATCCGAACGGTTGGTCACATCCACGCCACCAACACGTCGAAGGACCAGACAAACGGTGTTGCCGACTACCCTGCCGCCTACAGACTTGGGCCGGCAGATGGGCGGCTAGTGCGCGAGTCCAAAACATGTCGTGAATCCAGGCGAAAAGTTTGACTCGATCATGACATGGAGATCAGCAACATGGCAAACCTTGACATTTCCACCATCCATGATTTTTGCTAGCACCGGAGCGCGTGGAGTATCGAGCAAGAGTCAGTCGGCGACTTGTTGGTTGGCAGCGGGCGAAGATTTTCCGAGAGAGTGGTAAAAAACGAGACGGCGTAGTGACAGGCGGAAATAGTGGCGCAGACGGGCTCGCTCTCATGTAAGATGCTGCGGCGGCCGAACCTCGCTATCGGTAACGAAGGCAGCGGGTGGGTGGGAGTGATGCATCATGGGCTCGGCTGGGACCTACGAGGGCGAATAGAGTTTGGTGTGGCTCGCCAGTCACATTGGCGGTGTATAATGGTCGGATTATGGTACGGATTGTGGTAGCAGGTGCATAATGGCGGTCGCGTCGCGCGAAAGGGACAAGGAGATGGACGATGCAGAAAGGTGGATGGGAGAAAGAGGCGGACTGCAAAGGCGTTCTCACCACGTGCGGCGCTCGGTGTCTCGGTTGCGGGGATGAGATGGATGGTTCTCGGAGCAAGCGGTATTGGATCTGGCCATGGGAATTGGACGAATTGGCGGTCAGGAAAGCAGCTTCAGTCCGTGGGGATGGCCTGCCGATGTCGACCGGCGGCCACGAGCTGTCAAGGCGTTGCCGGACATGTCAGAACAGGTGCGGCGATCGCTGGCAAAGGTGTGCGGATTATAGGCTGAGAGATGCACCGAGAAAGGACCGTGGTTATCAAAGTGGTGACATGGCGCCCCATCCGTACCCTATATGTCGTTAGCAAGTCGTGCGAGCGTGCGCGAGCGTGACGCGTTATTTGGTGCCCATGAAAATTGCGATGCGTCGTCGGTAATAGTAGTCGAGGGCGAATGCAACAGTGCGGAATAATACATTAAGAAGTGCGAACGAAGGAACTAACAAGGGCGGAATGAGACGTTCCGTGAACAATGCACCATGTAGCCTGTACGAGCGACGACTCCAGTCCTGCTTCCTGTCTGTCCGACGTTCCTTCTTTCGTTGGGGGTGCGCGTGCGGAAGGAAGGTACGCGGGATACGGGAGAAGCCTCGGCCGGCCCAAAGCACCGGAACCAGCAAGACACCTCTCTCCTTCTCGCCCCCAGTCCCTCCTCCCCGCATATCTGCACCTCGACAAACTTGCTCCTCTTTTCTGTACGTCGTACGAGTCAGAAGGGGTTTTATTTTTCTGCAATATGTGCAAAGGTGGATTGCGCATCGTGCTTGTGCTGCAGTCTCTACTATATGCAATACTATATCGTGCATGTCCCGCTGGCGGAATGTCATCCATGCTGCTGCCATGCCATTGCCGCAGCTCGCTTGCTATAATTGCTACAGGATGGATCGGTCCGGCACCCTGGGCCAGCGAACAAGGCAGCGATGCAACACTGAAACATTACGCGCCCACCCTCCTGCTTGCTAGAAGCGCCGTCTGGGTCTGCACCGTTACAGATCTTCGTCATGTGATCCTGGACAAGAGCCCACTGTGCCGGAACGGCGACGCGTGGCATGAGCGTATATAGCACAGCCGCCAATGTTACCATCACCATGCACGTTACAGCCAGTTTTTGTTGATAGATTGCATTGCCACCTGTGCAACGTCATGTTCCGTCATGTCGTTTCCAAGAGGGTAGATAGTTCCGAGAGTTTGTTACCGACGAGTCGCGATAAAGTTTACGAGCAAGTGGGGGTATATTCCAGCTATTATATACTGCTCGTGCTATCTCCAAAAGGGGACTCCAAGGGTCCTGATCGCTGCTCCGCTAAAAACAACAAGACGCTCGTGAGAAAAGAGCCAAAAGGCCGCATGCAATCCACCATCACCCGCATTGTGTGCTCTGCACTGATGCCGAATGTGACATGCACTGATGCCGAACGTGACTGCATTGATGCCGAATGCGACGTGCACAACCATGCTGACGCGCTCAGACCACCGTGCTTTGGTGACAAGACAGATGGTGAAGAAATCGTTTTGTCGCAAGGAAACCGAGGTATCAAGGTATCAAGGTATCATATTCTTAACATGCCGTAACGCCAGACTGGGGTAGTCGCCGAAGAAGACCGGATTTTCCCTACCGCAAGATGCGCCATTAGGTGAATAGCAAAACGACGCGAAGACGACGCGAAAGCGCGGAGAGACGCGAAGACGCGGAGAAACGCGAAACATGTGGCGTGACAGGCAGACTCCCTTGTTCTGCTCAGTGCTGACCCAGTGAGGCTAAAAATGGTGTCGCGGAATGCACAACATGCTGGAAGCATATATCGAGTCCAGGTGTAACGAACGAGGCCGTCGCGTTGGTTACTCGATGAAGCGCGATAAAGCGTCGGAAGATGGCCAGTCCGGGCTAGGTGGGTGTCTGGCGGGAGGGGGATGTTTAACAGTGTTCTACAAGGGTGGTGCGAGATACTACTGCTGGGGACGGCGGGCAGTCCAGATGTGGCTGTCAAGGGTTAGTGCTGGGCCCTTGTTGGCACAAGGATATATTGGAAACCTACATGTTGTTGTACGCATGGATTTTGCGGTTGCAGATTTCCCTGCGAACGCTCTCGAGCACTGGCCTGACATGTGCGTTGAGGTCCCACTGGTAGACCCTGGTGAGGGGTGCAATGGTTAGCGCCTCGAGGCCCTCAGTCAGGCCCAGGTTGTACCACCTCCCAATGTCCTTTTGGTGCGGGTCATTGGGCCATGTGTTGTAGGGGACGCGGATGACCGTCTCTTGGATGTCGATGAAGCCGGCTTGTTGCAGCAGCTGGCGGGTGCGGTGTTCGTAGGCGATTGGGCGCGAAACTCGGTGCGTGGCGTCAGCTAGCCAGCCGTACCACTTGGTGAGCATGCTGTCGGGGGGCAGGGTGTGGTCGTCGCAGCGCGGCTCCATGTCGATTTCAATGTGCTCTATCCAGCCGGTGCCGGGCTTGAGGTGGCTGGAGCAAGTAGTTAGCGGCTGAGCGGCTGCGAGGGGCATAGTGCAAGACGCACGAGAAGATCTTCTGATACAGCTCCGGCCAGCTCGTCACACTCCCGCAGGCCATGCGCAGGTGGATCAGGTCCCAGGAGTCCTCGCCCAGCGTCCATGGGCTCTCGTAGTCGCGTGGTACACGGAATCGCAGGTTCGGGGGGATTCTGCGGGGGCTGCAATCAGTGTCAGGCCGACAAGCGACACGGGCGGGCGGCATACTTCTCAGGCTGTATATTGACGAGGTCCAATCCCAGCACCTCGGCGTTTAGGTATTTGCTGGACACATCAGCTTGTTTATATATAACAGATTGCAAGCAACTCACTCGGCCATGTCAATCGCCCAGATGCCCGTCCCGCAGCCTACATCGAGGATGCGGGGCTGCACGTTTGGCTGCGTCGGCACGGGCGCCTGGTGCAGCTGGCCTCTCCGTGCTACGGCGAAGAATTGGTGGTAAATGTCCATGCGGTCCTTTTCAGCCTCGTCGCACGGGTACATGTAGAGGCCTCTCCGATAGCCATGATACCAGCGGCCGTTTTCCATATAGTTGCTGTTCTGAGCGGGCACGGGCAATCTGGCGCGCTTGGTCAGTTTGTCTGGCCGGAGCAGAGTTGCATGTCGCACGGAGCGGGGGGGCAGCGGTGCACTCAGCACTCACCCATTCGACGCCATCGTGACCATTGGAGCGAGGGCAGCCGTCTTGTTCAAATCACTCAAAGCTGCCTCACGACGGGAGCAAGTCCAGTGGCGGGTGACTTTGTTGTCGTCGTCGTCGAGCGAATGCGGTAGTCGTGTCGTATGCTGCGCTGATCATGGGACGGGTGTCTTGGTCGTGGTAGGGTTGTAGGCGTGGTTAGGCGTGGCTAGGCGACGTCTCCGGCAGGTATGATGCTACTCCAGCAGGCCGATCTCAGTCATCAGAGAGCGATGCGGGAGGTATTTAAAAGCGACAAAGACCCCTGCAGTGCTTCCGTCAAGCGCGACTACGAGGGCTGACGCTGGCTGGGGCTGCGACCACAAGCAGGCGTGCCGGCATCAATGCAAGAGGCAGTCCGGCGGCTCCACCCATCTTTTGCACGTCTGGGACCCGTCGGCAGCGCAGGCCATTAACAGAGCTACTATTAATTAGGTGGCCTGTCCATGCCACTCACGCTCGGAGTTTGACCCAACCTAGACAAGACTCTTTCCGGTTACCATTATGGCGGTAACACTCTGTCGGAAGGGGATCCGTGCACTCACTGGCTGCTTTCCATCTCCCTGTCCCTTCCAAGCGTCCCTCTCCCTGCCCATCCATGCCCTCTCCCTGTCCGTCACCGGCCCACTCGTAGGCACCGTATACCCTCAACTCTCTTAGCCTTGAGTAGCCTTGAGCACACACACCGCTCAGACAAATTATCATGCGCCCTGTTCTCTGGAACCTAATGCATCCTCTGCCCTCCCATGCATCTTCTGCCCTCCCATAGCTGATGCACGCATCGCAGCCCTTCGTCTTGGCCTCTACGCCCAATAGAGTGGTAAGCGTCCTGCGCGGAATCCCGTACCATGCTCCACCTGGGCGAATGAGACGCCTGCATATCGCCGTCATTCACACCCACCCTGACACGCCCTGCCGTTTCTGTGCTCGTCGTCTGCCGCTTCAGGACACCATCAGCCTACACGTACAATCGGCCCAAGCGACGCTTTCGCCTCCAAGACCGAAATGACTACCCAAGTGATACCACCCAACGATAGCTTTCAGCCTGGATAATCTCCGCGCTCCCCAGCAGCTGCTTAATCACCATCGTGCTTACGCGAGACGAGTACCGAACAATTGCTTTGTCCCAGCGAACCGTCATCCTGCATGTCTGCATGTGCGTTTGCCCGTCTGCAGCGTTGCAAGAGCACGTTGCGAGCATGGCACAAAACGCTCTCTGGGACCGGAAACATAGTCCCGATACTTGCTCCCAGATTCTGCTCCCAGGTTTTTGCAGCCCACCCACACTTAATAACTTGACCATCTCGATTGCACTTCGACGCACTTCGACACAAGTCTTGTTGCAGCGCCGCGCGCCGTTCCGCTGCCGACTCGTCGTTTGGTACAAGAAGGGTTACGCAAGGGGCCAAACCCCACCCATCTGTCTGCGAGAGGCTCTCCTCGCGACGACGATAACAAGCAATAAATGCCTACATGTCTTTTTGTGACTTCTTTGTGATATTAGCTTTTGCCAAGTCAGTAGCAGGTAAATCGATTGGATTCGCATGCAGTCGCCGACACGGCAGGTAACTTTGTCGATACGTGATGCATGCTGTCGAAAGCGTTCCCAGAAGCATGGTTCACCGCCTAGGATCACACAGCTTAATTCGCTCCTAGTTGCCGTCTAGAGAACTGCGCCGCACGGGAGACTATACACCAGACCCGCGAACTGTTTACTGAGTGTAGCTAGAAGGCGATCATCGTGCACCTAATGCACGCTGTCAATAGCGAGCAGACTTTTTTTCCCATCATCATAACCAAACAATGGTTCCAATGTTACAACATGCCCAAGGGACTGAGACGCGAGCGAGAACATGGCAAGTGGAGATGACAACGTCGCCAGCTGCCTGCCAGGAAGATGCCGCCAGGGTCTTATGTCAGCTCCACGATCCAGACGGCGGTGACCTGGTAGCGAGCGACAGGCCTGCAGGCACAGAGGGGCAGTTTCAGTTATCAGCACAACACCAGCATAAAACATCCACGATGCAACCTCGCAAGGGGCGGCTGCAGGGTTGGAGAGGGAAGAAACAGGCTCAGATGATGGCGAGGGCGACAAGAGTGCGGGGATGAGCATAGCAAGGCAGAGTGAAACACGGTCGTCGCTAACATGGCTGAACCGGTCTACTGGGACTCTCCATAGGGCTGGGAAGGAAAGTGACTGGCGAGCCGCCGGCCGGTCGATGCCGCATGAACACCATTGTTCCCTCCACCATCAACCCACTCAACATTCTCGAAACACGACGCCGTACGCCGAACGGCCTTCTAGCGAGACATTCCCCTCTTTCGACAGCCTGCAACAAGGTCGATGCCGGTAGGGACTGCCGTTATACGCATGGGTCCAGCCTGGGATACAGCACATCGCGCGACGGCATTCGCCCGCGGCTGCAGAATGAAGCGCGCGTGGGGCTACATTCCAGGCTTCTGAGACGACAGAGCATCATGGCCTGGGCCTGCCCGACACCTCAGAAAGGTGTTTCAGGCGCGTCAAAGTGTTCCAGACATATTGCACCTGCACAATCGACATCATCGAAACATACACAGCCCGAGAAGCATAATCCGTCTGCAGGATATCTCTAATCGGAAACTTTTGCCAACGCAGAGTCAGCGTGCGCGCCGAATTACGGTCCTTCTTTACGTCATGTCCCGTTTTCTTCCAGCAGGCGGAATGACTCTCGGCGCCGCTTGCCTTTTCTTTCTCGCCTGGAGTAGGTGTAGGTTATCCGAGGTCGCTGTGTGTTGACTGGGGACACGGCGGTTAGCGAAATTCATCACGATAGGGCCTCACCACGCGGCTCAATAAAGACCGAAATTTTGGCGCCCGTTATCCATGCACGACATGCCTTTCTCCATACTCTACCGCCGCTATCTCTTTTCGAGAGAACTTCCTGCACATGGCAAATTGCAGCTGCCTACATGTCACTCTCGACACACGCGCGACAATTCTGCGTGCGGAATGACGAGTCAGCATACATGCCGTGCATGCCCATTCGATTGTCATACACGACAGTATTTGTCGACCGGCCGCGTTATCTTGTGTTCGCACATGGCGTATGCCGCAAAGTCTCGATTCGCAAACCTTTGCAGCATCTTAGGCGGCCCTCACCGTGTCATGGCCCGTCCCAGCATGTACGATGATGGTACAACTCACAAAGGCCATTGGGAGTGCGCACCCCAGGGCGATCCCCGACGTAGTGCGTATATCCGTTACCCCTAAGATCCAATGTCAAAGTCGTTTCGGCCACCAGCGGCATCTCCTTGCTGGACACTGACGTACAGACTACAACCCACGCGTCAGCCACGATTGCGTTGCAAAATTATATCCCCTATGATTCAGATTGTGGGTACAATCATGCACAATCGACGCGTTATCCTGCTGTATAAGCCACCGGTTGATATCTACCCGACTCGATTTGAGATTGACGTTTTCCTCACCGCCCGATCAAAAGACCACAATCTTATCCAAATCAAGAACCGGTGTTCGGAGCCGAACGTCAAACCCATCTCACTCTGTGGAGTTGCATTTTATACCCTGGCCCACGTTGGTCTAACACTGGTTGTGGTTGACTAATGATGCTGGTGTATATGCTTAGTGTATAGAAAAGAACTTCGGTACGTTCTCCGCTCGTACATGACTGGTTGCTAGACATTGATTGTTACAAACGATGGAACCTCGACAGAGCGTTCCATTGCTGAACCGTCCCGACAAACATGTCACTAAGGCACACCAGCACAAGCGTTCAAGGAACATTCCAAATGTACCTCACTCACGACTGAGTCCTAGGTCCGATTCAACGGCTAGCTTACATGGTGGTGGATGTCTTATTCCGATCATCATACACTGCTACCAAGGTCTAGACTCTAGACCCATTGCCATCTCTTCCGTATCCACTTGAGAACATATACAAGAAGCACCAGTACAGGGACCTCAATCAATGGACCCACTGTACTCGCCAGCGCCTGCCCACTACCCGCCCCGTACACAGCAACCACTACCGCAATAGCCAGCTCGAAGTTATTGCTCGCAGCTGTGAAGCTCTGCGTGCAACTGACTTTGTAGCTAAATCCCATCTTCCAGCAAAACCAAACTGTACTCGTAAAGATGACGATGAAGTAAACCAACAACGGCGCGCAAACCCTTAGCACATCCGTAATCTGCCGAACTACATGCGCGCCCTGGCTAGCAAAAAGAACAATGATTGTATACAACAGCCCGATGAGTGAAAGCGGTGCGATATAGCGGATAAAGCGGCGCTGGTACCGTTCCTCTCCCAACAGGGACCGCAATACCAATCTCGTGAGTACCGCAGCACCCAACGGGATGCCCAAGAACACACCCACGCTCTGCGCGACCTTTTCATAACTTATATCCGTCTTATCCCCATGACTGACAACCTGGATATAAAACACGGCAAACGGTGCAAACAGGACAATCTGCACTATGCTGTTGAATGCCACCAAGACGGCGCAGTAATCGCCGTCGCCGCCCGCCAGATCAGTCCAGATGAGGACCATGGCAATGCAACGTGCAATGCCCACGAAGATGAGTCCTTCGCGGAGGTCTTGCCGGTCGGGCAGGAAAGCCCAAGCGAGTGCTACCATGAAGAGAGGTGCGATGATCCAGTTGAGCACAAACGAGACTGCAATCTGGATCCAGAGTTCGCGTTTCTTGAGGAGAAGGTGCAGAGTTTCGTAGCGGACTTTGCAGAGAATAGGGTACATCATGACTAGAAGGCCGATTGCTGTGCACACAATGTTGTTAGCATTTGATCTGCGATCGTGTCCAAGGATGGATTGCGGACTTGTAGGATGTTAAGACGTACCGATTGGTATACTGACGCCGACGAATTCTCCTCTTTGTAACGCGGGACCCACGGAATCGACGGTGTTTCCCAAGGCGATGCCAATGGCCATGGCGAGAATGATCCATACTACCAGAAAGCGGTCGAGGAATGATAGACCTTTTAGAGGAGGTAGGTCGGGTTTCGTGGACGGTGTTCCTCCCATCATGTCACCACCATCGTTGCCAGCTTTTTCCACATCTGTAGCATGTCTATGCTCCCCATCTCCTAGTCTTATATCCTTTTCTTCCCCCATGGCACCGCGCTCGACTGTGTTCATATTGCTTGCCGTTCCTTTCTCTTTCCTTTTCTCTCCGGCTTCGCAAAGTTGCGAATCGTCGTTGTTGTCGTCTTTTGAGCTTTTAGACGCGTTGGTAATGTCAATAATTCAACGCGACCTTTCCATCTAAAGTAATGGGTGGGGGAGGCGGAAATAGTGAAGTTAGCCAATCATCACTGAGCAGTGACTACCCTTTTTGCTGCCAAGACGCTAAGACGGGCAGAACTTCGGGCGGTAAAGACGGTGACGAGCGTTGGGGTTGGCGATCTTTCTTTCTTTTCTTCTTGCTCGACATGCAACATTCCTTGGACGGCTTTCGAAGCCGCATTTGGATAATGCGTCAGCGCTGCCATACTTATCACATGGTCTTACTGTGCAACGTATCTGCGCAACTGAACAAGGGCGTAGCGATCCGGGTTTGCCAATATGACTACGTAGCGTACCTGCTACATTTGCCTCTCACTTCAGTGAATGCATATCCGTCGCCTCAAGGGAATGGCGTACCATGCTCGCTGGTATATTTTCGGGACTCGACATGCAAAGGCAAAGAGCGATCTTCTGCAAAAATGGCAACAACCCGATGGCTCATACATGTTGGTTGCTTACAAATGAAGCTTCTTATCACATACTTCCAGGCTTCATCATTAATCTTTTCCCCACATTCTCATCGAATATCTCCAGGCACAGTCTTAAATTCTCACTTGTACCTCCCACGTTCTTCGAATACCTCTGAGCTCCTTGCTGGTGCGTCCCAGCGTCTCTGGATATCGGCACACAGAGAAATGAAACAAGAAAGGCGGTCGGGCGACTGGTCCACTTCGCATACATACCAAGTGTGCAATGGGTCGTGGTCTGATGTTTTGCATACTGGACCGTGTGGGTTGAGGCTATGGGCTGCAAAAGATTGACCGGGTAACTTGACTAGCCACTCTTTATCCATGAGGGAGTAGGAGACGAAGGACATCAAAGCGATCGAACATGTCTCAGGAGTTCCTTCGAACCATGGTGTCTTACTAGGAGACTAGTGCTAGTCGTTTATAGTGTGGATCAATTTCTGCCTTTGTATTTCAAGACTGTCTTCTGTTGTAATCATCTTTTCGTGTGTGCGCAATGCGCTATGCAGGAGAAACTAGTTTGTACATGGGCAACTGTTGGAGAGTGCCGAGATTTTCCATCGTGCACGGCCTGTGGACAGCTAGGTAGCATTGATTGGACAGTAATTTCGGTCTTCAACACGGAAACACCATTTAGACTGGTTGCTACTTTAAGGAGCACCCGGAGGTTCTTCTCAAGATAGTGTACACAATCACACTTGTAGTGGTCGAGAGGATGTCGATTGTGTATCCATAGTATGGATCAAGTCCTGCCATTATATCTACATTTCCTCGACTTGACTACTTTCTCACTCCCGTCTCTATTCCTTATCTTCGTTCCTGAGCGTTCTCACACTTCCTTCTATGCTTCCCTCCCAATCACACTCGCCAACCATTGCAGGCTCCTTCTCCTACTACTGTTTCTCCTTTCCTTCTTTCCTCCGGCCTTCCAGCTCGCAATGGTAGCCTCCCTACATAACGGTCCTCCATCATCTTCGTCCTCCAGCACCACGATGTCGTCGTCAACCACAATCTTAAGCTTCTTGTCGTGCCCCGAGGCTACAACGTAGGCGTCGGTGCTAGGAGATGCTGGGGTCCAACACGGCGTCGAGCATGTACACGACTGGTATGACGCGGGTGCGAACATGTGCGAGAAGAAGTCTAGGACTGCTTCGGAGACGTGGTACGGTGTTATTTGGTGACCTGGTTGTGGCGTGTGCGTGGGTTTGTTGGGGGAAGGAGGTAAATGAGACGTTTGGGTCTGCTGGTGTTGGTGTTGCGCAAGCATGGTATTGAAGGCCGAGATGTCGAGAATGTTTGGGTAGAGTGACATGTGTTGTGGGATGTAGGTCGATCTTTGTCCTCTGCTTCCGATTGTGATCGTAGTGGTGAGGTAAATCTTGGTAGTTCGGGTATCAATGAAGTGACCGAAGATGTTGCTCGCTGGTAGCTAATAGTGCAGTGTAGATGCAGTAGAATGCTTGTGATGTGTATCTACAGCCTCGCGAACCATCACTACCATTTAACGTACGCCATCCTCCTACTAAGAGACGCATATGACCTGATGCAGCTTAGCAATATCGTGTGATACACAGGCAATCCAGTACCGGAAAGCCCATGCACAAGCACTTCTGATCGGCAGATATCTGCTCTCGTAGTAGGACACCCTCAGCGTTAGCCTGCGGGTGGGGAGACAAGTGGCGTGACGGCGCGCGCCCGGGCGGAAGCAGCCGGTCTCGCCACCATACGAGACGCACCCCCCGCAACGTCCCGAACCCTGCATCTGGAAACTCCCTTGACCAAATCCTCCATGCGGAGAAAACGCGCGGGTTGATTTCGCGGGATAGTGTGATACTGAATGTCTAGAATGCTCACCGAGGCGAATACGACGTCGCGTGTGCTGCTGAACCCCGTGTTGACATTGCCTAAGTGAGAAGTCTCACCACCACGTGCTGGATGTTCGTTCCCAACATCATGAGTCGCGACTTCTAAGAAGGACTACTTAATCCGCGTTCTGGAGAGGACAAGATCATATCTCCAAACACAAGATAAACCAGCAACAACGATACCTACTTACATCGGATACTTGCAAATATCAACGTTTACAACCACGAATATACTTTCAACCAAAATGTCCGCTACAACGCTACCTACACCCACCGCAGCAGAACTCGCCTTCGAGCTTGAGAAAGCCGCTATAACATCTTACGAAGAAGGCTGGGATCGATGGGACGGACCAATCTACCCAATCGGCTACATACAATGTCGGATGCGTAAGTCTTCCACTTCAACCCTCTGTTACCTCTTATGAAGAAGACGAACGAAAGGCTGACTAGCCGTTTTATTTGTAGAAGAAGACGGATATGTAGCACCCAATTTCGAGGATGCAAAAGCGAAAGGTGTTGAAGTGAAGGTCGAGGAGGTGAGCGCAGATTGAGAGCAGGACAACAACGATGATGAAGACCGGTGGCCTTTTGCGATTTTCTGGCGTTTGGGGTAAAGGGTATATAATAGGAATCTCGCCTCCTTCTTGTATGGCTCGTTTGGAAGATCGAGAACGGTATCTGGTTAGGAAATAGTAATAATGCGATGAGTTCATAAAGCAGATCTGGCCGTTCGCTATTCTCCAGTTGCACATTGCGTATTGCGTGACGTTGTAACAGCAGTGTAAAGACCGTTCATTCAATTACGGTAGAGACTCTACAATATCGCAAAAGAGCGAGCACATCACACAAACGCCATGGAGCGCACTTGCCTAAGCGCATACCGTCCTAGTCCCAAACACCATCATTATATAACAGCGATATGCTGTATGTATCCAGTACAAGTCGGCCGTGAAATGAACAAGCAACCATCTTATCGATTGAAGAAGCTGTAACCGTTGACATGGAGCGTTTTGCGTTTTCATCCGTGACCCAACCAAACGCCGAGTGGATGCTGTGTAGATGCCAGCATCTTATCTACCAAGGATAGAGAAGCAAAGAGACCACGATGTTGTTCAACTCGCCTGCTTGATCTTGAGATCCATGACGTACTGCATCAGGCTACAGTCGTCGCACTTGACAAGTGCTTGGAGGGCCTTGACCCTGGTTCGGAGCAGCTGATTCTCTTCTTCCACTCTCTTCTTGTCCTTCTCCATTTGCTTGATGTAGGCAGTCGCAGATGCAAGAATGACTGCTTTGCTAGGCTTCGAGGGTGTGGGAAGGTCCTCAATGTCGGCGCCGTCGCATGCCCGGTTGTTTTGTTGAAGGGAGGGCACGACACGCTTGAGAGAATCTAGTTGCGTGTTTAGTGATTCCCGGTATTTTCGCTCGACCTGGTTGTGCGGCAGTCGTCGGCGTGATTTCGGCTTTTCATCGTCGGCATCTTGAGGCGACGCTTTTGTAGAATTGTCTTCTGTGGTCTCGCTCTTCATCCGTTGCCGATCGTCTGTCGGCGATGTGGTAGATTCATCGTTTCTAGAGTGACGTGTTGAGAAGCCGTTTGCTGACGCGTCGCTTTCAGATCGTTTCTTGGGCCGTCGCTGAATTTCTACTACACCGTCCTCAATGGTGACTTCCTGCGGGTCTGAGAGCAGGTTGCTAATGCTTGGAAGAGCATCTTGGTCGGCGAACAAGAAAGGAGCACACCCACCGCCGCACGTCGACGGATTAGGTGGTGTGCCATCGATCTGGTCATGATTAGGGCATAGTGGCGATGTCCAGCAAGCCGAGAGTATGTCCGGCTTATTCTTGGTCCGCTTTGTGGTAGTGTTTGCTGTTACTGTTGTTTGAGTTCTCTCAAGCCCCGGCTTGGTGGCGGTTGAAGATCCTTTCGGGCCGTCTGGGAAGGTGAGGTCTTCAACGAAACCGGATTCCAGATTGTTGGGAAACAAAGATTCGTAGCCCGGGTTAGGAAAGGTGTTAGCACGTTGAAGTGCTTGCCTCTGAGCGGGCGACATGTGGGGTAATTGTTGGCTCAGTTGGTCCACCAGCGATGCCGGTGTCTGAGATTGCGAGTTGTTACCAGTGCCTGCTGTAGGCTCGGGTGACGACTCGGTGGTTGATCTGCCGCCACCGACGTTGTTGCCCAAGGGCTTGAGGACGTCAAGGTCGCCGAGAAAGTAATCGTTGGATAAGAACAGGGAGTCGTCAAAGTAAGGATCGCCTGATGTTCCTCCGAGAAGAGAGTCAAAATTGGTGACGTCTTCAGGTGAAGAGCCTGACGTGTCGGTGGTGGTGGATTTAGGCATTTGGGAGTTGGGAGGGGCAGACGTAGGTGGTAAAAGATCGGACCATTGGTCGTTCGGTAGGTTGAAACCCTCAGTATTGAGGAATGCGTCCCAATTGAGAGCCATGATGGTAGTCCGCAGGTGGGTTGTTGCACGGAAGAGCTCACGCGTTGATCAGGAGATACAATCGCTAAGGTGCGCTGGCCAAGCCACACGTGAGACTAGCAGGCAAGGTGCAGGATCAGAGCCGGCTGGGGTCGAGGATATAAGCGCAAGCACTTCCTCCGTTTTTGTCAAGATCAAGAGACAGTCGTCAGCACTCAGAATGGGTCGACGAGCGAAGATGTAGCCAGGCGCTTGAAGAGAATTTCCCTGGGTTTTACTCGGGATTGGCGGTCGTATAAAGATGGTGAGTAAGACACAAGGTAACTGCTTGGCAGTAGTTGCAGGTAACTCCAGGCGAAGTCCACAATGTTTCGTGGTAGCGCTCGTCTGAGGTATGATCTCCCGACTGGCCAGGGGTTCACGAAGATGCAAAATCGAGAGTGGCAGGTGCAAAGGATAGCCAGAAGCCTAGAAAAGGTTCGTCGCTCGTTACGGGACTTCGGTACAGCGATTGTGCGGAAGTTGTCCTGTGCCAGGCTCCGCGCAGTTCTAGATTAGTTACTGATCAGACCACCTGAGGGTGGCGTGACATTTCCCTGGGCCCCGCTTCGTGTCCGGATTCATGCTAGCGACGGTGCGCCTTGCGCCTCATCGCGATCTTTAGCCACAGCAGCGGTTTTCTCGCAGCATTTTCGGAGAGCTGTTGTCCCATGTGCCTGAGAATCATAGCATAGCAGGTGGCATGGGTGGATTGAAAGTGCTGGACACCATGCGATGTCGAAGCGGAAGCCAATGGCGCTCCCGCTAGCGGTCTCGGTTGCCCCACGAATAGCACCTGGGCGGCACCTAGCATGCTTGAAGACTACCACAACAACTCTGCAATTCTCTTCTCTGCTGGCAAGGCCTATAAAGATGATATGTGAGGCTTTTGAAAAACTTCAGGGCTTCTGTGTAGCATTTTTCTTCTTCTCGATATTTGGATGCAGTGCTATCAGCAGAACCAGGCCGTGTCGAGCCGCGTCTAGATGTCACTGCAATGCACCCTATCACTATCCTGGAACTTTGACATCTTGCCACTTCCTCATATTGTTGCAGATCGATTCCCTTTCTTCAGTGTGGCAGTATCCTTGCGCTCGATCATATCCTCTTCAACGCTCCCAAGACACTCCATGTCTTGAGTCGACCCATGCCGACCCACAACCTTATAGTTCTTGCCCGAACCGTTTGATCGACCCTTGTAGTAGTTCCCAAAAGCAATTAGGCAATCCTGGGGAACCGGCAGTTTGCCGTTGGTGGCTTCTGCTCGGATGCTCCCGTGTAGGCGAAGGGTCCAGAATCTTCTTACGCTTCCTGGTTCCACCCCGAAGCTCTAGCTGTGCATGGCTGGATATTGAGCAATTCGAAGTTCGAAACGAGCTTCTTCTGCAGGCATGACTGTTCTTGATAGACGCATGCTGCCAAGCAGGTCCATGCAGGCTTGTGTGTGTTTGTCCGAAAACTCAACAACCAAACAGAGTCGTAATCACATCTTAGCTTGTCCACCTCAGCATCTATACCATCAAGACTACTGGAATGGTCGGATCCAGTCTCTCACGAGCTTTTCTCCTCGACGATCGAGAGCCCGGTATTATCGGTCGATGACACAATGGACAGTATTCGTTGTACCTTATGAACCATTCGTCCAGACAACGTGAGTGAAAGGCGTGAGAGCAGTGAAGGCCCCGAACCTGCGCATCGTCGGAAAAGTCGTCCAGACAGATGGCGCTGCCCAAAGTTAGTCCATCTGCTCAATTGACAAAGCTCATTCGATATACTCACCATAGTGGATCGTGTGGTTGTGATGTAACAGCGGACTTCTCTTTCTGACTTGCGAGCCAATCATAGAAGTTCTGAGATTTGATGTGGCTTTCTAGCTCGTCTTGTCGCGTTTTCCAGCGCTTCTCTTTGCTACCAGATTCGGCGCGGCTACATGGTCGGAAAATGGAGCCCCTGCGGCGGTTCCTATCGTCAGCTTAGACATGCTTAAAGCTCTATATCCTACTAGTGTGGCTACTGACATGATGATCAGTCCAAGAAGTAGGATGATCAAGACTGAGGGTACGACGATAGCGACAACAATAGTACCGCTTTTGGCTCCCGTGGGCGCCTCTTCCTCGGTATTGTTGCTCGACATAATAATAAGAACTGGATAATGTGGCCCCTAAGAGAGGAAGATGGGACTAAGGGTTAAGAGTGATTCGAGATGTTGCGTATGTACAGCAGGTTGGCTCTCCGATGTGAACCGATGGAGCTGCGTGCATATCACGGGTGGCGCGATCACCAACTGCGCGCATGTGGTGACCCAGAGGCAACGGAATGTATGGCTCGGGGATTATGGAGTGGTTTGATCAAGGTGTTGTGTTCACGCCTGAGCGCGCAGCCCGGAGGAAGGCGGATCTGACGACAAAGGAAGAGGAGTCACCCTTAAAAGTAGCTACTTGTTCATCAGATGAAGCCCAAGGCTGGCGTCTGCAGCTCGATACAGCCAATGTGGGCTTGGTCTGGCCACCCTAGATGCTGCGAACCTCTCAGAATGGTCAGTTTCCGAGCCAAGCGTAGAGTTGTCAAAGCTAGCCAACCAACTTTCATCGACTTGCTCTTGTGACGCGGGGTCGATAGCTGGAAGGGCCGACAAAGTTTGGAGCGGGCAAGGCGCCCGCGCTGTAACATGTTGCACGAACTGCTGAACTTGACCCGCGGCAGATCAGGAGCTCTTGGTGTGATGATGGCGATGATGGCGCTAGGAGGCGGTGCATGTGAAGGGGTGAGGGATCGGTGGAGACGGTAGGGAAGCTAGGGTCTATATCGGCGTGCATCATAGTGGGGTAGCAAACCTCGTAAATCGGAGGTCAGTCTCACGTTGAATACCTTGGTACGGACCTCTTAGTGTGCATGTCGGGGTCTTGGGGGTTTGCATAGTGTACATAGGTAAGTCCCCGTCTTACCAGACACGCGTCCGGATTGCGCGTGCCTCCAGAGCCAGATGGCTAGCCTGGGCTCATGGAATATGTTATTGAGTATACTCGAACCGAATCGTGACGTGTCTTACGAGTGAACAGACAGGCTTAAGGATATACTGTTAGGCTGGATAGCCTGGGGAGCCAATGCCCGCATGTGATCATCACGTGATGAGCCTTGGCAGGCACGGCGGTTTCTATGAAAGTAGACCCTGTACCATATCATGTACTCTGGCACCAGCTTCAGCATCAAGTATGAGCCTTCGCTCATATTGTCGCATTCATAGCGCAGTGCTTAAATTCTCGGCCGCAGAGGCGCACCTCCATTCAGCCTCGTGTCTCTCTACTCCGGCACAAACAAGCGAGCTGAAGATGTGGCGCTTTTAAGAGATGCCTGGACTGGTCTTATTTCGTATTGCGTGCACCCATGAGCATGCCGAGTGTGACACGTTTTAGCCATCGATGCGCATACAGTTACCTAGGTATATATGAGGTTGAACAAGCAATAAAGGTATCTAAGTAGGTGTTTGCGCGCTTTCCACCAAATATCGGGCGATACTGCCAGAGTCATCAACCGCGTTCGGCGCGCAACTTTGGAAGTATGCCGTATGAATACCAACCGCTACCGATGCTCCGCGACTCAGAAGATGTGTATATACGCTTGCTGGAAGTTCACAACGGTCCACCGAGTGGTCCTATTACCGGTCGACTATACTCGACATTATTATCGAAAGCTCCGGCGTTCTGGGCGGTCTCATACTGCTGGGGACCACCAACACACAAAGGTGCCATACACATTACGAACGCGGCCCCTCCTCGAGACCTGGAGAACGACAACACTCTCGAGATACCTGCCACGTTAATACCGTTTCTCTATCAGGTACGTGGGTGGCGTTATGTAAGACCACGCACTTTGTGGATCGATAGCATTTGCTTGAATCAGATGGACAATGACGAGAAGACTGCAAACGTACCGAAAATGCGAGAGGTATATATGAAGGCCGCTGTTACTGTGTGCTGGCTGGGATTAGAAGTCGAGGGAATAGCAACGGCATTTGATTATGCTTCACGACTGCACGTAACCTACAAAATTGAGATGGCGGCACAAAAACAATACGTTCTCACAGCAGAGGAAGAGAAAGAGGAAGATCCACGTGTCCAGGTCAAGGTGGGCGATCCAGCACTTGAAACGTTGCTAAACCTTTTAGACCGGCCTTACTTCGAGCGGGCTTGGATCATGCAGGAGGTTATTGTTTCCAGAAAACCGGCGTTTATGTGTGGAAGCGCTATGATAACCTTCCAATCGTTGATAGTTGCATACCTGTTTCTCATGACTAAGCCATGGCTGTGGGAATTTTATGCGAGGAACAAGACACATACCATCACGTTCATGAAGTTTAGTGAGATGGAATGGGTGGCCGGCACCGACCTCGATTGGCCTGTCATCCTGCTGAGACATCGATTCTGTTTGTCTAGCGACCCCAGGGATAAAGTGTATGCTTTTTACGGGATGAGATGTAACAAGTCACTGAAAGAGCTGGATATTGAGCCAGACTACAGAGAAGACATGACTACGGAAGTGGTGTACACTCGTTTGGCTGCGCGCGCGCTTCACAAGTCACAAGTAGCGGTTCTTCACGTGCCTCGTCTTATCACCACCTCCCATGAAGAAAGCCATTCAAAATTCGAACAGTGTTCACTTCCATCCTGGGTGCCAGACTGGCGCTGGACGGAAGTAACGCCATTGTCGCTGCTTTTGTTCGAGCTGCCTGCCAGTGTGACCAGCGGAATGGTAAACTACCATGCCTCGAAGGTCTCTATTTTCGAACCCGGCTTCGATGTCGAGGCGTACGATTCGCTGTCAGTTCGGATAAAAGATTTGGAGCAGTCGTTGCTGCCCAAGATGCTCAGACTGTATGGTGTCACAGTTGCGAAAGTTACACAGCTTACACCACGCCCTTGGGTAATTGGGGAAGTTTCACGTCGCCAAACTCTGCTTGACCAAGCAAAAGACCTGCAATTCACCATGGACCAGATTCACGAATGGGAGGCTCTGCTCCGTCCAAAAAGCGCCACAAAAACATACTCTGCAACGGGCGAGAGTGCAACCCAGGCCATGTACGAGACGTTTATGGCTGGCACAACGGTATATACTCCAGAAAGCAAACTCAGCGCTTGGAGAGCATTCGAAAAACGCGAGAGAATCCTGCGTCTCTTTCGTACGTGTCGTGTTCACGGCTTTTTGGTCTGCTATATTATGGTAGTCTTAGTTGAGCGTATACTTCGTCGCTTTGGCTGGGTAAATCCTGAAATGGAATTCAGGATGATGGTAGGACATATGATGAATCGGAAGGGTGCCTTGATGGTTAACGTTGAAGAATCCGAGACGAGATATAATGCGCTGGTGCCGAGTATATGTCGGCTTGACGATCATGTGGTGCTGGTTGGGGGTGTTACGACACCACTGATACTGCGTAAGAAGGGTGAAGGTGCGGATATTACCTGGGAATTCATTGGCGACGCTTATGTCCATGGCATTATGAAGGGGGAACTTTGGGACAAGAGGAAGGGAGATCGCAAGGACATGTGGATTACCTGAATGAAAAGGCAGTGCACGACATTCTCCAAGCTATGACTTACGGGACTGCGACGTGGTGGTCGCCACATTCTAATTTACCTTCTACTATGCACTTCAGTCACCCATTTCTGCCTTGCCAAGTTGCTCTCCGTGCATACTTATTTACACACTCGCTCGAATCGCCTGTTCAAGATCCAAACTCTACCGGAACATTCAATATCACGTCCAAATGTCTCAACCAAAGATCACGGCCTTCGCCAACGAGATACTTGACAAAATCTTCTCCTACCTTATCGACAAGGGCGACTGGTTTGCTTTATGCAAGACACATTGTAGCTTCAAAGCCTCGGGCCAGCGACTCCTATTTCGCGACATCCAGATACCTGCGCAACACAGCGCACAGTCTACGGGGCGTTGTTCAATGCTACTAGGGGCGCTCACAGCCGCCTCGCACCTTGTGGATTTGGTGGAGACTCTACAAATTAATTGTCGTCTCAGAGAAGACCTCGTATTCGAGCGAGACTCGATCCACGCTATTCTTGCCAAAGTACAGAGCATACAGCGCTTGACTATTTTTATCGTGGATCAGCCGGACAAGTATCAAACGTACTCGCTGATAGAAAAAGGAATTGTTCCTATGTAATTTTGCTGATCCATGACATGCTTCAGACCAAAGACTGACCCTGTCTCCAGGTTGCAAAACCAAGCAAACGTCATACAAATCAAAATCGACTGTCCTACACGCCACTTATTCGAGGCTAGGATGCTATTCGCTCGCACATCAGCCACGACGCTACACGTACGAGAAAATATCCCACATCAGCAAGTTCCAAGATTTTCCAGGGAGCCAGGCAGACAGATACGCAGCGTAGATCTTAGGAATTTGACAGCCATCGACTACGCGCAGAAAATATCGTTTTGGTCCGCCCGGGTATTCGGCGGTGCTCACAAACTGGAGAAACTACGGTTCGTGTGGCCCAAGACCGACGAGCTCGGTGGTAACCCTTTTGATAAGTGCATTCGAGGTCTTTCTCCAACCCGACACACGCTAAGGGAACTTACTATTTTGCCCGATGCAACATATGGTGGACCTAATAACACAAGTTGGATGAGCGTAGATTTTAGTACCTTCCCTGCTTTGAAGATCCTGCGTATACCTGCCCTAGCACTATTCGAGGCAGTATCGTGCTGTAGTTTGAAAGGACACTATGAACGTGCGAAGTGGGAAGACAGGGGCGATATAACACATCTGCTACCCCCGAACTTGCGGGAATTGGAGATGTGGTTCAAATACCCCTCGGGTATATTTGCAACGGGTCAGATATATCTCTCCTGGGTCCCAGAATTGCCTGAGCACGAGATGATGCGGAGATCAGCCTGGATACTCGCCCTGCTTCAGATGCAAAGCTTACGGAAGGTTCGACTGAGCGAGATTCTTTGCGCTCATATTGCAGCTTGCGAATCCGTAGTGAAGGCTGGTGGCTGGCCGATGCAGAAGTATGCGCTGCCGAATGTGGTGGAACGAGCTTTCCTTGGGGCAGAGACGGTCCTGGAGATTGAAGTATTGGAGGTAGAACGGGGGTTTAATTGCGAGTTCGAAAGTGGCTAGTAAGGCTGTGTTGGGACGATAGTAACGGATGCTCATGGCATTAAAGATGGATGTTCTGATGACGCAGCTCTCATCTGAGGACTCTTTAGATACCTTCTCTGTATCTAAGGACAATTTGAGTCTTAGTGGAACCCAGAGAAGCGACTGGCGGCTTGTAGCGCTGGAAGAGGCGGTGTACTTTTTGCATATAGGGGATCCACGCACGGAATGTGGCTGCAAAGGACTTTATGGAATACTGCAATGCAGATGCTGTGGAACCAGAGTCATTTTAATAGTATGAAATGGATGAGGATATTTCATTATACCCAATAGATGAGGATGCTTCGCTGCTACCATGGTTGAATATAGACACTACCACTGCAGACGCCGCCGTCAAATCAGCGCCAGCACATAAACTACTCACCCAAGGTTCAACTTAACGTGACTGCCGTTGATTCATCGTAAGACGAGTGCGACCATAAGAAGACGGTGAGGATGCTTTGTAATTGATCATCCAGAGTGGAGCTTCACTAGCCACATCACGTGATATGTGGCGGCGCTAAGACCGGCAACGTTAGCTCGGAACGACCTTCGGGAGGCAGTCGCCGCCGTCGCATGAAGTTCAGCAAGGACTCTACACGTCCGCCTTCACCCACCACCCTTCACTCCCCCGCGCCTAATACATTCAGTCGCGACCATGGCGGACCAGTACGAGTACGATGACCCCATGGACGACGAGTACGAGGATGAGGAGAACCGCGTCTTGCCCGAAGACTGCTGGGCGGTCATCAGCTCTTTCTTCGACACAAAGGGTCTGGTCTCGCAGCAGCTCGACTCTTACGATGAATTTACGCGCAATACAATCCAGGATATTGTAAAAGAAAACGGCAGCGTCATCCTCGAGCAGAACACTCCTTACAACCCCGATGAGGAGGAGAATCCGATTATCAAGCGCCGCTATGAAATCAAATTCGGGCGCGTTTACCTTGCGCGACCAACACACACGGAAGGCGACGGTACCACGGTGCAACTGTATCCTCACGAGGCGCGTCTACGAAACCTTACCTACTCCGGTGCCATGTTGGCGGACATTGAAAACCGAATCATGGTCGCCCGTGAAGGGCGCGAGCCAGAGGAGGGCGACGACGAGGAGATGGAGGGAGGTTACACAGGCGGGCCATCGCAGATTCGGTGGGAGCGTGAGGACATGCCCATGGATGATGGCGCGGCGGCGAGGGTGTTCATCGGAAAGCTGCCCGTCATGTTGCGGTCAGAGCTCTGCCACTTGCGTGCTCAGTCAGATGCAGACTTGTTCTCTCTAAACGAGTGTCCTTACGATCAGGGTGGATACTTCGTCATCAACGGTAGTGAAAAGGTGCTCATCGCCCAGGAGCGCAGTGCCGCGAACATTGTACAAGTCTTCAGAAAGAAGCAGGGTCCCATTCCATGGATAGCCGAAATTCGAAGTGCTGTCGAAAAGGGCACCCGGTTGATCTCGTCCTTCAACATCAAGTGGGCAGAGAACTCGCTCGCTGGTCCCGGCAAGCGTATCCCCGGTCCCTTCGCATACGCTACCCTCCCATACATCAAGGCGGATGTGCCCATGGCCATCGTCTTCCGCGCGCTTGGTATCGTTTCAGACGAGGAGATTCTGAGCCACATCGTTTACGACCGCACCGACACACAAATGCTGGAGCTGCTGAAGCCCAGTATCGAGGAGGGTTCAGTTGTTCAAGATCGGGAGACTGCTCTGGACTTCATCGCCAAGCGTGGTGCCAACTCTGGTACCAAGGACAGGCGTCTCAAGTTCGCAAGGGACATTATGCAGCGAGAGTTCTTGCCGCATATCTCTCAGAAGGAGGGCCAGGACACACGCAAGGCCTACTTCTTCGGTTACATGATTCACCGCCTTTTGCAGTGTGTGTTGGGTCGTCGCGACGAGGACGATCGTGATCACTTCGGTAAGAAGCGTCTGGATCTTGCAGGACCCTTGGTCGCCAACTTGTTCCGTATCCTCTTCCTGAAGCTCACCAAGGATGTGTACAAGTACCTCCAGCGATGTGTTGAGAACAACCAGGATTTCAACGTTCAGATGGCTGTCAAGGCCAGCATCATCACAAACGGCCTGAAATACTCCCTGGCAACAGGAAACTGGGGTGACCAGAAGAAGGCCGCTTCCGCGAAAGCCGGTGTCTCCCAGGTGTTGAACCGATACACTTACGCCTCCACACTGTCACATTTGCGTCGAACGAATACCCCTGTTGGTCGTGATGGAAAGCTGGCCAAGCCGCGACAACTCCACAACTCTCATTGGGGTCTTGTCTGCCCTGCCGAGACTCCTGAAGGACAGGCTTGTGGTCTGGTTAAGAACCTGTCTTTGATGTGCTATGTTAGTGTCGGTAGTGACGCTTCTCCCATCATCGACTTCATGACACAACGAAACATGCAACTCCTAGAAGAGTATGATCAGAACCAGAACCCCGATGCCACCAAGGTCTTTGTCAACGGTGTCTGGGTTGGTGTCCATTCCAACGCTCAACAACTTGTCACAGTTGTGCAGGAGCTGCGACGAAACGGAACTCTATCCTATGAGATGAGTCTGATTCGTGACATTCGTGACCGAGAGTTCAAGATCTTCACAGATGCTGGCCGTGTCATGAGACCACTGTTCGTTGTTGAGAACGACATTCGGAAGCCAAACCGCAACCACCTCATCTTCACCAAGGAGATCAGTAACAAGCTCAAGCAGGAACAACAAGAGACAAGCACACGACAGGGTTGGAGCCAGGATGAGGTCGAATCAGCTACCTACGGCTGGAGAGGTCTTATTCAAGACGGTGTTGTGGAGTACCTAGACGCTGAAGAGGAGGAGACCGCCATGATAACGTTCTCCCCTGAGGATCTGGAGGAGTGGCGAGAGATGAAATTGGGTTTGCCGGCGGCGGAGCGATCCACCGAGGGTGAGCACCGTCTCCGACGCCTCAAGCCACTACCAGACCCCCGCATCCATGCCTATACTCATTGCGAGATTCATCCGGCTATGATTCTCGGTATCTGTGCCAGTATCATTCCCTTCCCCGATCACAACCAATCGCCCCGTAACACTTACCAATCTGCTATGGGTAAGCAAGCTATGGGTGTTGCGCTCACCAACTTTGCGCTACGCATGGAAACCATGATGAACGTCCTGTACTACCCCCAGAAGCCATTGGCAACTACTCGATCGATGGAGTACCTCAAGTTCCGTGAGCTACCCGCTGGTCAGAACGCTATTGTCGCCATTGCTACATACGGTGGTTATAACCAGGAAGATTCCGTCATTATGAACCAGAGCAGTATCGATCGTGGACTGTTCAGGAGTTTGTTCTACCGTGCATACACTGAACAGGAGAAGCGTATTGGTGTCAACGTTCTCGAGCAATTCGAGAAGCCTACCCGTGCCGATACCCTCCGTCTTAAGGGTGGAACATACGACAAGCTTGATGATGACGGTGTTGTTGCGCCTGGTGTGCGTGTCTCTGGTGATGATATCATCATTGGAAAGACAGCGCCCATCGCAACCGATGCACAGGAGCTTGGTCAGAAAACTACTCTCCACACCAAGCGCGATGTTTCAACGCCACTCCGAAGTACCGAGAACGGTATCGTCGATCAGGTACTCTTCACCACCAACACCGAAGGCCTCCGATTCGTCAAGGTTCGTACGCGAACGACCAAGGTCCCGCAGATTGGTGACAAGTTTGCTTCTCGTCACGGTCAAAAGGGAACCATTGGTATCACCTACCGCCAGGAAGATATGCCATTCTCCAGGGAGGGACTCACACCGGATCTGATCATCAACCCCCACGCCATTCCGTCTCGTATGACAATTGCCCATTTGATCGAGTGTCTGCTCTCCAAGGTCGGTGCCATTACGGGACAAGAGGGTGACGCCACACCCTTCACCGATATCACCGTCGACCAAGTGTCCGGTCTGCTTGAGGATGCCGGCTACCAAAAGCGTGGTTTCGAGATCATGTACAATGGCCACACGGGAAAGAAGATGCGAACACAAATCTTCTTGGGACCTACATACTACCAACGTCTAAGGCATATGGTCGACGACAAGATTCACGCTCGTGCTCGTGGTCCGCTGCAAATTCTTACTCGCCAGCCTGTCGAGGGTCGTGCTAGGGACGGTGGTCTGCGTTTCGGAGAGATGGAACGTGATTGTATGATTGCTCACGGTGCCGCCGCCTTTTTGAAGGAACGTCTCTTTACCGTTTCGGATGCGTACACGGTGCACGTGTGTGATATCTGCGGTTTGATGAGTCCTATTGCGTAAGTTCTCTCTACTCCTTTATTTTCTCATGATAGCTTGCTAACTGAGCAATCCAGACAACTCAAGAAGGGTCTCTACGAATGCCGCCCTTGCCACAACAAGACGCGCATCTCCCAGATCCACATCCCCTACGCTGCCAAACTCCTCTTCCAGGAACTCCTCGCTATGAACATTGCTACCCGCATGTTTACCGATCGCTCCGGATTGAGCGTGCGTGACTAGTCGTCTCGCGCAGATAGAACAGTTCCCGCCTTTGTCGGTGGTACTCGAAATACAGCCTCAGGGAAGAAACCCCTTGGTGATAGTCAGTCAGCCTAGATGCTCACAGTTTGCTTTGCATGGTTATGGCGTTTTGTCCCTTTTCATCGTTTGTCTTTTTTCTTGGTGGGGACAGAATGAATGAAGAGAGGAAATAAAGGCTACCGCGGAGGTTGGCCAGGCGTTGAAACCTTTTTCCGCTACTTTATCTACGATTATAATTGGCCTGATTCGGCTTTTGAAAAATGCATATCACTGAAGACAAAGGGGTCACTGGTCCGTTTTGTATACCTACGTAGCTTGGAATGAGAGCTTTGAATAGCAGTACGATTACTTGTCACAAGACTGCATGTGAAATGTGACCAAACGACAGTATGGGTGACCAGCTCAACATGTTTCAGTCCAAGTATTTCATTCGTATCGTCGCTTGGCGGAGTGTCTT